CATATACATGTTTGGTATATTAGAGGTTTAGTTTTACCTTGTTGGAGGGGCTTTATGCAAGTTCATATTTTACAGGTGTTTGCATCTATTTCTTATGTAGTCACCTCTAGAGGTCAGCAATAAAAGTTACTGCCATCCGAAACAGCTTTAAATATTCTCTTAAATGAGTTCGTAATAAAATTTAAGTGAAATTAAAAGGCGCATATGAAACGCTGAGCTTTCTCGCTTACTTCCCTGAGGAAATTATTCTTTAATCCKTTGCATAATTTATGCCAACAATGCTGACACCTTAAAAGCGAGTAAAAACGAAAACAGTAAAGGAGTTGGTGGAAGTGTGAATGCTTAAAGCGAGTMTAGATTTTTGTACAAGTATAGYTCTTTGTTTCAATAGTCATTAAAAAGCTTTCTGTGTGTTCCTATTGTAATTTTTATTTCACTTTAGAAAAATTTCCCTTTTTCATTTTTCAACTGTAAATATATTGTTTCGTCCCGGTCATGGTTATCCCAACGCCATAAGTGTAGCGTTGTTTTGGCACATCATTAAACTTTTAGCTGCCATTGTCAATGGTAATGACACAGCAGAGTGACCGTCGCCAACTTAAACGGCGACTGACCCAACGAAACAAGCGAAGCGCAGACACAAAACTAAGTAATTKCTACATACATACATGCATACATGGGCACATACAAGCATTCTATATAACGTTTGGTTGGGTGGATTAGAGGAGTGTCTCTAAGAACGCACAGATGTATGCAGGCAACAACGAAATACAAATTATTCAGTATTTAATTTGATTTAACTCATTCCACTAAACTCAATCAAKTGTCTCTCCTATACATAGACGAGTGCATAAACAATTAATTTACGGGTCCTAGCACCATTCACCAGCATACACCGCACTACTAGAAATACTACTTACCAGATTCGACTGCTGGAGCGTTTTCCGCTTGGTAACATTGATCCACTTACAAGTCGGAGTTCGTGTTGTTCGTGACATTTTTGGCAGGTCACCAGCCCAGTCAAGGGTGTACAGTACACGCGGAGGGGTAGGATCGGGAATATGTGTATCCATACATTAGCACATGCCTCGGACCGATGAACAGTCATAAAGCTTGTAAGTGCAATGAATTATGGGCGGCGACGGCGACCAGAGACGTGTTTGTCAACTGAAGCGAACAACGAAAGGGTTGCACTCACTCACACTTCGTTGGCTTGTTGTTTCTTCTTTTTTGCATTTGTATGTGTTGTAGCCTTAAGCAGTGAGGCGACAATCGAATGTCTTAAAATCTTAAAATTCAATTTACGCAAAAACGGATTTGTTTTAGCCACAACAGAATCGAAATCATAAATCACTTAACCTTATGAGCCCAGACGCAAAGATGTGGAGAATATGTTAGTATGAAAAACGAAGAAATCAATCACATAATGCTCAATATTTTTACTGCTTTATAAAATCAGTCAGGAAAACTCACCGCCAAATAATTCACTCCGCTGCACTTTCGTAAAAGGCGAACAATACGCCTGTTAATATATTTATGTATATATGTATGTATATATGCTTATGCGGGATGATTATATTCACTTATTTGCTTATGTGTGTATTCATTACAAATATAGAAGAAACCGCTCAAGTGTAAAAAGTAATTAAACAACATGAAATCCTACAARTAAACACATTTAATTTGCTCTGCTGATCTCACGCTTCACTTTTCTTTTCRTTAAGTTGACTAATTATTTATAATTTATTAATAGAAGTGAGTCTGAACGGAAATATCTCTTCAAATAAGATTTTGAAGAAATCAACGTAAAACAATTAAGAAAGCGCTTAGTTCAAACTTAAGTTGTCAAGGTTTCTCATCTCGTGTCTTTGATATATCCTAAATATTTGAGATACTAGCTTTAAAATTAAGCGAAGTCAAGTTTGAACATTCAAATTCCAAAACTGAATGCCTTACATTTAGACAAACAACTCTTTTTAAAATCTTCGAATTATCAATTGTATAATACCCTTTCATATGTGCCAATTAAATTAAAAATAGAAAAGAAGTTCTGTGTCAGTCGTCGATTGGGTTATCCAGTTGGCAGCAAACATGTTTGAAAGCTGGACTGGTGCTTATTTGATCATACTTGTCGTAAATGAAAACATAAGCACCAACAAATACAGTAGAGAGCTTTTCATTCATAGTCTCGAATGCTACAGTGGTGGCTCTATATATTAGTTAATGTTTCAATTTTTTCGAAATATATTGTTTTTTTTTTGCAACTCTCACTCTCTCAAAATACTAATTTGTTAAATTTCCAAATTTGAAACAATTTTCATTCCTTAAATATTTTTTTTAACAAATTGTATGGTCTTAAGTTGCTTGAATATGACATAAATCGGGTAGTAAATGATTTATTGTAATTTTTTCGCGCATTGCAAAGAACACTACACTATTTAACGACCGTTATATGTATGTGTCATTTGTTTTAGCGGCATTTCAATGAGCTCACGCTTAATTTTGTCATCGTCTTCACAAATTATGCAAATTATTCCATGTGAACTGCTCCATATGTATGTCCTTCTATTGCTGTCGCGTTACGAATTATTCATGAAATTCTAAAAGCTAAAATTAAAGCTGTACATTTTTACACTAAATGACGTCATTTGAGAAAATTAATTAGATTTTCAACCGTAAATTGTCWCATTCACATATATGTGTGTAAAAATGTGTGAACATTCTAATTCGCCCTCTTTGATTTATGGGAACTCTGCCTCTTTAACGAGCTTGTTAGCGACCTGAACATATGTTTCACATCTCTAACCACGAACTCCCACCTAAAAGGCTATGTATACACTTACATGGCGTATTTATATGTTGACATTGTTGACACATCCACCACCACAATGCACACACCTGTTCTCTGTGTTGAAATCCTCTACAAATTGCTCAAACGACGGCTTTCAACGCTCCTACAAAGCTGCTATGTCACGGAAATGAAGTTTTTTGGAGATTTCARTGTGATAGTAAGTAAAGAAAGCGCACGCATACCAGTTAAGTCCTCGTGTTATTGGACAATAGAGACATACCGAGGAGACGAGCGCTGTCGGTGGACTGGGTGTTGTGCGTAGACTAATAAGTCTTTTACAAGCATGACTTTGTATGTACATATACACTATATGTGTGATTGTGCATATATGTGAGAACAAGTTGTATGGTTGGGGAAGTATATGCGTGGATCGTTAAATTCCTAATTTAGTTTTTATTTGTTGTGGTTGTTCTATTTTTAGGAGAAGCGCCAATGAAGCGAAAAATATCTGCTTCTGACTTCAATCAATGCACAAGCTACACAAGAAATGAAATACTCTCACAAAGAAATATAAATAAATGTCTATATTATTTATTTAAAGAATACAGATATTAATACCCATATCATGGGTTTGAAACTGGTATATAGCAAAAATAAAAATTAAGTTCTCGGAATTAAAAAATAACAATTTTTCATTTTATATCTATATTTGAGTACGAGTATATCGCCTTTTTATCATTCAAAACGCCATTCAATTCACATATTTTCTCGATTTTCTGCTTTCAACTTACACCCCACCACCGTTATTCGTATTCGCACAMATATTTCATCTCCTCGCATTTATTTGCTTTTTGGCCCCCAGCGAARTACTGATGCATTGCGCTTCGCTCTTTCAAACGAATGTTTGTATATAGCTATGGTTCCAGGTACGCACTACAGCAGTCGGCAAAATATGCGACAGTCACGTGTCCTGCGCACATTCTCCTGCAAATCTTCTTTGTCATTACCACTTTGTTGGCTAATGTAGTCTCATTTATATTAACCTAACTCCCTCTGTACCCCGTTTCGAATGACGGTTTCACCATATCCTTCCATTCACTGATTTTCGCTTCCCTTTCACCTTTCGATTTACRAGTTTCACCTTTCACAACTCTATTTGTGACAGCGCCGTTGTCCTGCTGATAACTTATCTTAGGCGTTTATTTTTGTTGCTTGGCGCGTATTCCGACAATCGCCAGCAAGTATGTCATTCGCCTTGGCCACTGTTGTTCGCGATTAGGTCAGTGGCGCATTTTCGACAATTTTTATTGTTGGTGGTAGTTATCCAAAGCTGCTTGTTTTCGTTGACGTTATTCGCCTCTGCTGCTGGCTTTACTGAGTTGTCCGTTTCTTAAATGAGTTCAGCAAAATATATTTATGGTTTTACAGATTCAAATATTTATTTGTAGATCTYTCTTTTAATATTAAACTAAAACAATATTTAGATTTCCACATTCCATCGAATATTTATGTCTAATTAGCCCTCATTTTTCTCTTAACAATATTTGGACCAGGTGATTGATTAACCACATACATACTTTCACAGACTTTACTTTAACCCGCTTCACTACCGAAAAACGAACCTGTCCATTATTATTTTAATTTACTTATTTCTATTTTTTTTTTGTTCAGTTGTCTGTTATATATCTGCTTTTACTTTTTAAATTTTGATATACATATGYATGTAGGTATCTATATATTTATACTATGGTTGAGGATTGGTAACGAGCAGGTTGACGCACATTTCATGTTTCTGGGCTGGGTTTTTAGGTATACCGTTTCACTTTAAATATGTTTACATGCCTGCATAAATTCACTTAATAAGCTACACAAATTCGCAAAGTAAATAAATTAGCTTGGCAGCTGAAAGAGGCTTAAAGTTAAAGCAAAAAATTTACGTAAAAATTATATGAAGAAAATTCTCTGTCAAAATAAGTTTGAAGCCTCCGCATACTTTTCAATTTTGAGCTAATATTGGGTAGTCGAAAAAGTCTTCTCGTATTTCTAATCAAATTTTAACTGATTTTTTTACATTTATAATAACAAATAAATAAACAAATATGTACCATATTGGTCGACCACCTTTTGCCATTTTTCCGCTAGAGATTTTTTTTTCGACTACCCATTTTAAAGAAAAATCCAGAAAATTCTGAAAATATCTGTAAACCACATTTGAGTATATACATAATATTATGAATTAATTTTGCAATAAATTCTTTTTTTTTTACAGTTTAAACTAATGTGTGCATTTACTAAAATTACTGCAAATGGTAACTCTAAAATAATACTTTTCATTTATACTAGGACTTAGGAAATTTTGTAAGGACACATCATTTTATAATTTAAGGAATCACCTAACCCTTTTATGGGTTATTGAAAATGTCACGACTAAAAATTGGACATTTAAAAACAAAACAAWTAGTTCGAAAAAGGCTTAGGACGTAAAATAAACATGTTTAACAATATCTGTACAAAGCATAATATAATAATACCTACTTAAAAATATAAAATTTCATAAAAATTCAAAATTAATCAAAATAACAAGCTTATTTTAGTTGGAAAAAGTCGGTGAGATATGAGTTTAATTAATAATATGGCAACACTGTTTATGCACTTCCACTTTTAAACAATTTCTAGTCAAGGCAGACCCCTTATTCCTTAGCACCGGTTTCGAGGCACCGCCACTCAACCGCTGTCCGGCCTMTGGTGTAGTTGGGAAAGCTATAAAACCTGTGTACTATATCTTTTAAAGCATTTACCATTTTGTTTGCGCGCATAAAAACGCGACAAAAATTTACATACTATTTGTCATAATACAAATCTCTAATTTATAATTTCGTCATTAGTGTTTGGAATTATTGGAATAATACAAAATCGGTTCCTTACAATATGACTATGAACTATTTTGTTATTGTTTTTGGTTTTTGTATACAATTGCACRTGTTTTGCTAATAATCAAACCTAAGACTTTTCACTTCTATCCCATGAAGGGCTTACGCAGACGCAACAGCACAGGGTAGTGTAAGTCCTCGTCATACAAGCCGGACGTCATCATCAATTCCTCGTGCCGCTTCCATATGGTCTCATTATAGCGCTGTGTTATCTCTACTGCGAAGCCTCTACGCGTGCACTCGCTAACAAACATCGCCATGGTTTTGCCACGTCTTGGCGCCATTATTATCGCCTCACCTTTGGGTGCCATATAATACCAAATCGTCTCCACCAGCGACGAGCGCGCTTCATCGAAGAACAGGCAATCGGCGGAGAGGATGACATCGAATTTCCCAGCCTCCGCCATAGCACGCGCACTCACATCTTCCCACTTGAGCACCGAGCACTTTGTATAGCAGGCGAGCTCGTTCAAGCATACGGTCTTCTTTACATTCTCCACCGACACATCGTTGCCATCGGTGAGATGCACCGCATAAGGCTTAGCGTACTTGGAGAGCATAAGCCCAGCTAAGCATGTGAATCCGCCACCCAATTCCAATATCCATTTATCACTATACGCAGCGACGTCGGATAGAACGTAAGCGGTTAATGCCTCCTCTGAGGGCCACACGCAAATATTGCCGGTGTTATTGAAGCCCATTAGGTCACTGGCTGTTAGCTGACGCTCCACGTGATGTATGTTAACGGTGAACTCCTGCTGWYCCTCCCCATCGAGCAGCACACTGTACTTGTACCAGTTCTCCGGTTTGCCCAGGCAGTTCAGTGTCATATGATCTTCGAAGCTATCCTGACGCAACAAGTCAAASGACTTGAAGCGACGCACTGACGCCGTTTGCTCCTCACCGAACTCCTCGCCCGACGACGACACTGTCTCCTCGGAATCTTTGCGCAATACTTTGGCTAAAATCTTCCAGCGTTTGCGCGCTGTATTCGCCAAGTTAGGCGTGGCTGGTGGTGTTGGTGGCAGCASAGGTTTGATATCTTTTAAAGCTTCATTTGTATGGGTCGGTGGTTGGCTCACATTCTTCTGCGGATGGTGTGCTTGTTGTGGCGCTTGTCGTTCTTGTTGTTGTTGTTGTATAAGATGTACACCATTCTCTTTGATGGTGTTCAGCGTGTTGTCAATGTCGTACTCGAGCATTAGCGATATCGACGAGAGCTGTTGGATGGCGGAGCTGGCAGCGACGGCTGTGGCCGACATTACCGCTGTGGAGTCAATGACACTTGGCGATTTGTTGAAATTTTGTACAGAAGTCGACATTTTCTATCTTTATTTCAAATTACGGCTGTAGTTTGACTCGTTGACGTTTTCGTCTAGGCTACGATTGTTTGTTTCTGATATGATTTGATTATGACTTTTGATTTGAATTTTGACCAGCGAACACTTCTAGGTGTGCRTGCGTCTGGGTCTGCAAGAAATAAGTTACATAATATTTATACTTATGGATTAAAGATTCAGAAATTGTGAGCTTACATAATTAATGAAGAATATATGCAGTCATTTTTTAGATTTTTTAAAATTTAGATTTTAGAGAACAATTGCTAATGAATGTTAGTCTATGTAGTGTGCGTTTACTATTAAGAATATAAATTCCACWCTAAATAAAACCAAAGATTCTTATCTCAATTACGATCTTCTCCAAATAATACCATAAACATATGGATTTTATAACCATTYTTGGTGTTCCCGCCCCTCACACTGCTTTTCTCATTCATAACTTTTTTCATGGAACTTTTTCGCATAAAACCAGGAATATGGCAGGGAAATGCGAAAGACGCTCAAAGGTACAAACGAAAATCGAGAAGAAATTATACGAGAATTTGCGAGAAATCTAGGAAAATATTGCACGCCTGCAGCGTGTTTGGTCGTTGGTGCTTGTTAAGTAAAACGTTTCAGCATTTTACTGCGTTCAAGCGGGTGAAGTGCTGCAAGGAGGGCTRAATGTTGCAAGTGAATGTCGACGATGTAGTAGCTTCTTGCGCTTGAGTTGTAAAATATTTAGTAACATTAAGTGACGACCTTGTGACTGCCAAGCACATTGATTTCCATGTCACTTTTTATATTTGAGCGCGATTAAACTTCATATGGAGTATATAGTGATCGAAATCTTAAATATTTTACTCGTGTTATCCTATTTACTTTACAAAATCACTTACTGTTTCAAGTGTTTAAATATTAATTTATGAATTTTGTATTTATCGACGCTTTACTTAAGTGGGTACTTCTCATTTTAAATAAGCAATCGAAAGGTTTTGCTAGCCAAACATTAWTTATTGCTTATCAAGAACAATGAGCGCGCTGCACCAATTTATTCTTTGCGGCAACTCACTTTCATTTTTCAAACTTTTCATTTTTGTTTTACTAAAGTGACAACAACGAACTCAAATTGTGTGCGAATGTTTGTAAGCACTGTTGTGAACTGTGTAATATTTGTAATGCTAAGAGCGCACTAAAAGTGGCAAACAACAACGAATCGCTTTGTTACAGAATGGCTATATTAAAGCTTTTTAGAAACACAATATTTAAAGAATTCGGATAACTCCTGAAAACATCCATTGGAAAACTCCTTAACATTTTCAATACAATAAAATATCAAAACAGCTTTATGACTTTTTCTGAAATTAAGAAATAGGAAGCTCGTATAAATATAGTTCTTCGAAGCCAAAACGAATTCAAATATTTCGCGTAACAACTTTCAAATTCGTTTGCTTAAGTGCTAAATCACATTTGTGTTAAGGAAGATTAAGTACCGCACCGCAAAATCTGAATATCCATAAGACAAAAACAAAGGAGGAAGCTCCTCCAGACACGTGTCTGCAGATGAATACATGCATAGGAGCGACTGTRGGCAAAATGGTATCCATTTCACCAGGCCATTAGGTGAGGATTTATGTTAACAACGCCGCAAACAAGTAAAGTTGTTCGTTTGCCACAATGGCCAATGAAAGAAACAAAAAACACACGTGTATGTGAACACATAGCCGAAGAAGGTAATAAAATCCACACTAAAGTGCTTTGTGTACATTCATATATGTGTGTATGCCGAGAGATAAGTTTGCTGCACAGATCGACAGATAAGTTGCCACTGTACCAGTCAAAATACCAATAAAACAAATTGGGAACAAAATCATACGACGAAGCCAACAACACAAACGCCGTCGAATGGAGGCACATGGACCACGTTTTAGCAATAAAATCAATATTTTTGGTAGGTTTTCATATGTAAGGACATACATATGTATGTGGGAGTATACGTGTGTGTGTACCTCTTGTACGAGTGTCACTAAAGCGAAATCAAAGAAAAGTTTTGAATTTCAGTTCCCGCATAACTGCTTGAATAACCAATGYAGTAAGAAATTGGGAAGTAAAACGCTTTAAGCGATAAACATTAAGTACTGAGAAGATTAAATGTGAAATTATTCAAGAAATTCATTACTYTTAGCTGTCCAAGTATGTACATATGTAGATTCAAACATTAGGGTTTTGTTGGAAAGGCGTTGCACTGTCTGGTCATTAATTTGCAATTCTTTTCCATTTATTATTATTTGAAAGCTGTTGTTGTCATAAGAGGCTTCAGACATACGTATAACTACACATTTTATTTATAAAGTGCTACTAAGTTTGGAGCAAATTGAACTGGCTGCCCACTCAAAAATTTTCTACGATATAAGCTCTTTCATGCCTCATTGTTAATTTGAGCACTTGTTACGAATGAATGTCCCTGTTTGCCACATTTTATTGGCAACCAATAATTTTTCTTATAAGCTCGGTTATTACAGTTCATCCCGGACATTTCACTTTTGCCATCGGCTCCCATCTCTCGTGGCGGTAGATCAAACTGCAATCACTCAAGCAACGACCAAAGTTGGCCAGACTCGAGAGGAAACTTTTCAACAGCAAAAGAGAATCGACAGCTGCCACAACGTCGTGCCACGAATATCCTTGTGCAATTACATACGAATTTATACTCGTTGCTGCATATCCACCGTGTCTATGGTGCTTTTGTTTTGCCGCATTCATACTGAAAATTGCACACTTGATGGCCCCTTGCACCTCCGGCTGCGTTCAGCAAATAGCAATGCAATTCAAACTTTAAAAGTTCGCCGACAAAACTGCCGTTATGTAGTGCAGCTCCTTACCGTTTCGTCTTGCTGTAACGGTTTTGTTGTTCTTTTATTTTCATTCTTGTTATTTGATTTGCTCCACTTTTATGTGCTCAGCAATTTAGTTTATTTTCTGCAATTTCTCCCGCAGTAGTCGTCATCATATTCCAACCAGTGCCATAGCAAACTGTTCGTTGTGGTGGAGCAACGTGGGGATCGTTGTCTCMAGCCGGGGATATGCGCTCATCTTAAGTAGATTCGTTTTTCAGTTGCATCTATAGTTCGCACAATGGAATGCATTTAATTGCCGCTTTGGCGGTGAGTCCATTGCCACAGCCATTTTATGGCTGTATCATTTGAAAGTTAAAGGTTGCAGTGGGGACGGATTTTCAGTATCTCAAAATATTTAATTTTACTTAAAATCACACAATACCAAATAAGCGCCTATTTTTTACTACTTGTGGCGGCTAAATACTTATTTTTATTATATTAAATTGCTTTATTTATTTATAGATAAACTCTTATTGTTGAGTGCATTTGCCTTTTAGTTACGTATACGTAGCGTAACCCCCGATTCAGAAGTTCAATAAAATATAGACTTTGAGTGACGAATTATGTATACAAACAACTGGCTCACAACGGATTATTTTGAAACGAAATATATTCCAAAGTGACTTAATATGGTCAGGTGCTATCAATAAGCCTAATCGCAAATTATCTGCGACTAAAAAAAGAAGGGTACATAGAGAGGCCATATAAAAATCAATAAAACTCAGTTTAGGTTAACGTTTGCTGTACTAGCTCTTAAGTCCGAGATTCTGGCTCAGTCTAAAAAACTATAGACTCGTATATAAGGCAATAGTTAGACCTATCTGATCTTATAGAACTCAAATATAAGGCAGCTATATACTTGCGATCCAGCTGCTGGATAATGGTTAACAATGTAGGAGACTAAAAAGATGCATTCATTAGATCTGCCTTTTCGATTCAATTGATATCAGCGTCATTTATGTAAAATATTTTGCATTGCGACAGCTAATTTAGATATTGTCATCTTAATTATAGGACAGATTCTAAATGAAACTGATTATGTGAACTGGTCTACGGAAAGGGGGTCTTAGTTGATTCGGAAATAAGATGAGATGCTTTTTCACGTGATTGAATCCAAAAAGTCATAAAGTAGTTTTCACACGTTAGCTACCTTTTCGTAGACCAGGACACATATGATAAAAAATAAGAGTGAGAAAACCTAAATATACTGACAGCATTCGTTAAAATGTAAATGACTGTTTAATATAACTGAGTTACAAACACTAAAGTTTCATTAACTACTTCTATTAAGCCAATAATTCTGACCACATCAGAAAGCCTTATGCAGGAGATTCTAGCTTGCTCATACCAGCTAAATAGAAAATGTGTATCTGGTGGGCGCTATGCGTATGTYCGTATGCTAAGATTTGCACCCTTACAAAAGACCAAGTGAGCCTTGCTTGGTCATCGACATTTTCGTTTCTCTTCTTTGGTATCCCTAGTGTGCATTGACCGCTCAATATCTTTGTAGACTATTATTCTTTGTTATCKTTTTTGTTTATTGTGGTAAAGTATATTTTCAGACGCATCCTTCAAAGAAGTTTCTGACACATATCAGCAGAAAATACAATAAATTTTTCTAGTTTGGGAATTAATCGTACACTGCGAAAAAATTTTTCAAATATACGAGTATTGACATATTCTCTAAAATGTGTGATATTATTTCACGAGAAGTATATTWTCGTGCTAAGTTTTTGAAACAAAAGTAGTCGATTTGTTGATTTCTTTATAAGTATTACATCATCAACGACACAGCCAAACATCTAATCAACGTCAGAGCYAAGAGTTCCAGAACCCATTTCAAACTCATAACAAAACAAAAAAAATTTCTAATGTGACCAAATCTGTACTTCAAATGAGTGTAGTTTTAACTAAAAATATTTGAAGGACATCGCATGTTGTTCAAATGTCAATGACTAACCTTCTCCTCTACACAAATGGCCATTTTCCCACATAGTTAATATACAACGTACTAATGAGGGCACGTCAGTCGCATATGGCTGTACATATGGCAGCTTACTAAAATAATACATGCATACTCATGGTTATCGATTTCAAATTAAGCTTAAACGGAAGGACATTTAACTGCCCAAATGCACAACCACACAATATCTCACACAACCACACTCAAACGAATTTCTGATGGAAGTTACGTATGATAGCTGACACACACACATAGAGGAAATACACAAGCATTTACTTTTAGACACAT